ATGTCTGTAACTGAAACTTTCCGAACCTATTGGATAATTCGAAATAATTTCATATCCGTAGTCATATCTAAAACCAATATAACATTATTAAGATCCGAAATTTCAAATATGTAACGTCCCAGATTTAGTTCATTGCTTATCATTCGAGAGGACACCGATTCGTTTCTGGATTCATCTGCCCTAGTCCAAGTGTTTCTGTGGCCAAATGCTGGGACAGTAAAATACTGGAGTAATAATACTCTACAGATTATCTTTCATATTCTTCTGTTTTCACTCATGTCATTTTATCATCATAAGGTCGTCAGTCATAAGACTGACTGGACACGCACCTTCCCTCCACTTTTTCCTATCTTCAGCTGAACTTCGCATTTCCCTAAAACTAGAACAGCTCACATCCTTAACTATATGCGAACAGTAATCTAATCTAGGCCTACCCCTAGCCCTCCTAATTTACGTTTCTGCCTCTGATATATCTCTGACTAGACCTTCATGCCTGCGAAAGTATCCTACCAACCTACGTTGCTATTTCTTATTGACTTCCATAGAGTCCTCTGTTCTCCTATTCTTTCCAATATCTCCTCATTTCTAACCTTGTCTATCCACGGTATCCTCATCATTCGCCGGTAATTATCACATTTCGAACGCTTCTAACTTCTTTTCCGCCGCGCCTACTGTCCATGTTTCACACCCGTACAGTGTCGCACTCCCAACATACACCTTTAACAATCTTTTTCGAATTTCTAAATTAAACGTTCGCAAGCATAAAAGTGATTTCTTTTTACTGAAGAGGGCCCTCCACCCTATCACGTAAAACGGAGGAACTGCCCGCACACCAACACTAGTAGAAGGTGGAGAAAAAACACGCGAATGTTTTAATCCTTAAGTACGTTTTTATAAGGCTAAGGTTACAATCAAAAGCCACAAAATAAAAATGATCGTTTTTTCAATTGACTGACTTTCAGAGTTAATACGTCACCCATATTTTTCATATCTATCGCCACAAAACTGAAATCAAATTTTCTTTTTTCGCCGTTACCCCCTCCGGCGTACAAATACCTGATCTCGATCCCTACTGATACATAGCTTGCGTTTTTCATTTCAGATCAAATTTAATACAAACGCCCCCGCGACATAATTGAAATGCAACGTGGTGAGTTCTGGAATAGTTGATAAGGGCTCGGGCCGAGATAATACCCCGTCTGGCGCCGGTCCAAACCGTTCTGCCCCTTTTGCTATTCGATTTTATTGTGACCGGCAGTTTCATTTCGCCGCAAAAGCGCAACGGGAATTATTAAAGCGGAGTGTCGCGACGGAAGAGATGGCGACCATTCCGCTCAAGAAACGTATAAAACCGAACGCGACCAAAAAGAAAATAAACAACATGGAATTAACGAAAGTAAGGGACAAGTTTATACTTTAATCGCTATATGGTTTATTGCAATGTTGATGTGTATTGGTATCGTCTTACTTGCGAACGTTTCAGATGCGAACAACCACATTTTGTCTTAATATAGGGTTGTTCGGAAAGTCATTTCGTTTTTCCCGACAGAGGATTTAATTGTATTCTTTTGCACGCAACTTCACATTTAAGCCGTATAATTTTTATATGCTTTGAGAGCTCATATAGCAAGGCTTGTGTGTGAAAAATTCCAATTAATTCTACGCAGTAGTTTTTGGTTGGTGCCCTTTTTAATATGGAGAGCGATAAGCAGCATTTTCGACATATCTTACTGTTTTACTACAGAAAAGATAAAAGTGCTGTTCAAGCCAGAAAGAAATTGACTGATGTGTATGGAGAAGGTGTGTTGACAGTACGCCAGTGCCAGAACTGGTTCGCTAAATTTCGATCCGGCAATTTTGATGTCGAAGATGCACCACGTTCGGGAAGGCCGGTTGAAGCTGATAAAGACGCGATAAAGGAATTAGTTGATGTGAACCGGCGAATAACAACACGTGAGATCGGATTGAG